AACTGTATTATTGACTGTACAGTATCTACAGCCTTCGCATAGCACTGGACAGACTCACTAAACAATCAATACCACATCAATGGCACAGATGTGACAACAGTATTTTAGCTTTCTGAAATACAATGGTTTCATTTTTAAGTTTATTCAGTCTGTGAGATAATTCCTATAATTAAAGTAGTGGAAACGAGAGCATCCACGAAATCAAAAGAAGTGCTCAACTGTGACGTATCACACTTGGAATGCCTCCCTTGCTTGCATTGCTCTCTTGGGATAGGAAATAGGAGAAGGAGGCAAACAATAAGAGTAATGAATAACCACAAATTTAGTAAAAACATTCAGTTTAGAGTATGTAATTTGTACAAAAATCTGGATTCTGCAGTAATTTCATTTCAGAGTGAAGATATCTCCCCTTAAAGGCAATTAAAACTGGAAATTAGGTGTTTCCAGAAAATCTGCTATTATAATTTTTTTTTTTTTAATGGCAATCAGTTTAAATATTCTATTTTTGCCAAAAGACTCAGAGGCATACTGCACGACTTGACTAGTTACAATAGAGACCTGCTGGGTAAATGGAGGTCACTTGGATTTTTTAAAACTTTAAACCTTGTTTTCTGCTAAATGACAGGGAAATACACTGAAACCACAATCAACTTTTCCTGGGTTTGACAATCGCAAAGGTCCTTTTCTGCTCCTCACTATTGACTCACACACCACTGCATCCCAAGGGACTGTGTACTCTAAAACAAGGAATGAGTAATCAGGAAAAAGATGTTTCCCCTCTTCAAAGTATTCACTAAAGTGTTCATCCTTTCAGAACTTCCAAACTGATATTTATTTGGGTTGTAAATCTTACAACAACAATATTGACAGTGTTAATGTGATCTCAACACTGCACAATGTAAATGAAATTTACAAAAGTATAGACCTGGTCATGGAGATTTCTTCCAATGTGGTGCAGGGTGGGTTGTTCTAATTTAAGCTCTCTGAGAGCAGAGTAACAGCAAAGACCAGAAAGAACAGTCTGATTATTAGCTGTGTCTTGAAAGAAAAAAATGTCCATTCTTCTATCGCTTGGGAAGGGACATTTTTTAATTCATTCAAGACACCTTTGAAGAGAGTTGATACTATGAAAAAAGCCAACAGTTTCAGAGAAGGAATATTTTGGAAAGCATTTGAAAAATGACTCACTGGATTTTACTGCCATTTTGTTTACTGCTGTGGAAAGCAGCAAAATAGTAGGTGTAACAAAGCAGATTTTGAAGAGAAATGTATTAAAATGTCTACTTATAGGTGGAATATTCTGCTTAGTGAGCACTGCAAAGAGCTGATTCGCTGCTGCAAACAATACATGTCCCTTCACAATCAGACAAAAAAATTGTTTTATCAAGAAGAATAGATAGGGTGTGATTATTAAGTAAGGCATTTCTTAGGAATTCAGACTTTTTTCTGCACTAATTACTAAAATTGCTAAAGGCATGGGTACTTTACAGTACTTCTTAATCCTTTGGATGTTCTACCCTTCAAATATCATATCCCGACAATCCAAATATCACTGGCAAATTGGAAAGCATAGAACAACCCTCCAGTTACTTCCATTAAGATTAAAAGTTATGTTGTATGTAAGCAGCATGGCTGCTTCGGAATTCAACATCATCACAGCACCCAGCAGACCACACCAACCATAAACATCTCTGAGCTCACAACTACCAGAAGACAGCTTTTATTGAAATACAAGTCAATACTAAGCTGGTTATTTGGCGAGTTCATAATCAGCAAAGGTAACATTCACAGTTTGGGAGATGGGGTCAATCAAGAGTTGGATGTGCATGTGCTATTTCCTACTTTCGTGATACAAGATGACAACGTTCAAAATACCCAACATTGGTATTCCAAAGAGGAATTATCTCAGCTGGAGGAGCCTTTGGCTTCATCCCACTTGGACTCTAGGTCTTTAGGTCATAAATGAAATTTCAGAAAGAATTCAGTGCTCCATAACAGCAACATTGATTAACCATGCCCAGACTTACAGTATATACTCAATAACTGGTTCCAACCCACTGCTCAGATAAAACTCTGGGCAGTCCCAAGTCCCACATTATCTTGGAGAGCAGCGTTACACAAAGGACTGAAATCAAGAGGTGAAAAGATGAAAGGTGCCAACACACTGAAGACGAACAAAAGCCACCACCATGGCAAAGCCAGACCATGCAGCACTCGGCATTATTCCCAGGCTCCAGGGAATTACTACCCTAGGTCAGCTATGAGGTCAGAACACGGAGTCTAAAAGCCAATAATAACTACAGCAGGCTGGCTTCAAAGCCAAGGTGTGAAGAGCTGGTCAGCGCAAACCCTAGTGGCACTATTTCATATCGAGAAAGATAATAATGAGAGGATGGTCAACACTTTACCTGGAGCTACAAATCCTCCATGGCATGAAGCCGCAGAACACAAGTTGGTGCTCAAGCAGCCTGCACAGTGCACTGCCCTTCGCTCCATGGTGGCCACAGCGTGGCACGCGGGGCCCTTTGCTGCACACCAGCTCCTGCCTCACCAAGACTCCACCATGCCTGGTGAAAAGCAGGGTTTCCTCTCACAATGAGACGGTTCCTCTTCACTCATGGCCAAGCTGGCATGAGAAAACCTCAACCTCGGAACCTCCAAGCAGGAGGCATTCGATGGTATTGGCAGAAAAGGGAAGGTAGGTGGTCAAGATGCTGCCCGGCTTGCTTGGCATCATCTTCACACGGATCCCTCCCTCAGGGACGATGCCAGGCTGGGCCACGAGGGTGCCAGTGGGCACGGGGCAGCCCTTTCCTCAGAGAAAAGGCCCAAAGGGCTCTAACGCAACAACGGCCGACGGCTTCGTGTGGCTCCACACCCCACGACCTCTTCAAAACGTGGCCCACCACACCTTCAGGTGCAGACCAGGGTGGCGGGAGGTTGGTGGCTTCCATTTCCTGGAGAGGACCGGCTAATTTGCAAAATGGCTGTGAGGGAGCAGGAGAGGCCTCCCCTCGCCCGGCGGAGCGGGTGCCAGCGGAGCCCAGAGGTGGCCCCAAAAAACCTCCTCACCTACCCTCCAGGCCGCCCTTTCTCAAAGGGCTGGCGGAAGGG